ATTGACCAAAAAGAAAGAAGTGAGTAGTTCTGTCTGGTTAAAGAGTTGAATCGACTCATCAAAGGACTTGCAAGCCTAGGAGCCAACACAAACAGAAGGCAACAGTAGATTGTCAGAAGTGATTGGGTAAGGTGGAGAAAGAGAGGATAACAAGACATCACTTCTTGGTGGCAGCAAGCTGTTACACTGGCTAAAGCATCACGGAGAACTTTGCCTTTCACAACTCATCTTCAAATGCCAAATCTTTCCTTCCTCTTCTTTCTGATACATCTATTGTATTTGCCATAAAATTACACAGCGTATTGCTTTGTGATAATTGCATGTGTGATTGTGCAGGTAGAGTACATTGCATGTACTGCCGTAGTCTGTATTATAACTGTGTGGGTGTAACGTTTACTTAATGTGCAAACATTAAGTTTTGAGTTGAGAACAATTGTATTTGAAACTAAAAATATTCCAGTAAGGAAAATTAATCCGTTTTGAGCCTGTTGCTTCATTAACTGTGATTAACTAGTCTATATTATAACAACACTTAAAATAAAATAAAGCCATATAATTTCCATAACAGGCAGCTTTTTTTTCATTTTTTTTTATCACTGTTGTAATGGTATGTTGAGTTCCTGTGCAGGGATCAGGATTCCATAGAACTAGGTATCCTATGGGTGCTTATAACAAAAAAATAGTGCTTATTCTATTTTTGGAAGCAATTTGTGTAATCCAAATGATTTTCTATACCATCTCATTGTCAAATGTCTTCATAGTATTAATTTTGTTTTCCCCTGAAGAACCGAGTATACTTCTTAGTCTTTTTTTTTTTTTTTTTTTAAATATATTCCTCTAGTCTCTTCTTTCTAGTAATCTACATGTTTTAGCTCTGAATTAAAGGTTGAACAACATGGTGTCAACTGTCAATTCTGTGAATGAGAAAGGGATTTTCTTAGCTCCTGAGGTCAGTGGGCTTTCTGTGAAGCCTTTGAGATGTCCGTTTGCATAACAGTCATGCTGTTTTTCCATTAGGCAGAGGAGGAAAACTCAGTGGTGACAGGATGATTTGGCAGAAACTTAATGGATGGATTTTATAGGGCTCTGTTCTCATAGGGAGCTAGGCCCTGTGCTGTTCACCACAGACACAAATAGGAAGGGAGTTAGGTGATAAATTTTGCTGTTAGTATACATTTTTTCCCGAGTGGTAAGCAGGAGGGCCAGCTGAAGGATTGCAGAAGAACCTCATGGTATTTGAGTGAACTGGACAAAAAAAGTGCTATTCAGTGTGAACAGATGCAGAGTAACACACAGGGGAGTGAGCACAAAGAATATGTCCATGGTCTTGTACATTAACACCTGATTCACAACTTCTCTGAGGCTTAGAAATCACTGAAGATAATTCGGTGGTGAATTCAATGATCCTGAAAGCAAGCAAAATGCTAGGAATGAAAATGAAATAGAGAAGAGACTGAGGAAAAACTGTGCTGATTTAGAAATCCTTTTTCTTCCACTCTTGGGCATTTTCAAGGCACCCCTCACCCCAGCATATGAACAAGGGTAGAGTAGAACAAGCCATCAGCTGAACAAGGTCAACAAGGAATGAAGGACCATCAGAACTCAAAAGGTTGATGCAGGTTTTTGTAGGTGTTGACAAACCAATGATTTCAAACAGTGCGGTGGAGAGAAAAAAAAAAAGCCATAAAGTGCTGTTAAACTGAGGTACTCATGTGATTTAAACTCTCCACCCTCAGATTTCTGGAAGACTATGCTATTTGTGTGATTACTGTTTGTTTGTCCTATTTTCACACACTTCCCTAGCTAATTGCTTCTTGCCACTGTCAGCCAGGACACTTGCACAGGACGGATGTTTATTCTGACCCTGTGAAGTCATTCTTGTGGACTTTTAAGAGAAGATTATGGAGATTTTAAGATAAAAGCTTGCTGCCTTTCCGTCATTTTCAAGTGTCTCTGCATGTGGGAGTCCTGGTGGAGTCCGGGAACTTAATCTGTGTGTTTTTATTTCCCTGTTAGCCTTTAGCTGTGCTTTAGCTAACAGCTTTTCTCCAGTACCTGTGGCCACTCTACTCCAAATATAGAATCAAAATTAGCTGCTTTTGCAGAGATTTCAATAATATGCTTAGCTTTATTTATACTACTTTGAAGTTTGTGTTACGTGTTAGTCCATTAAGTGCTATGCTAAAGGCTGTGCATCTTTGTTCAGGTCTGTGCATTTATTCTCTCGTCCAGTGTTTCTTTGTAGCAGATAAGTACAAAGATATTTTTATGGATTCTTTTTTTCCCTCACCTCCTCCTTTAAGTGCCTTTGAAATAAATTGCATAAGCTTCTGCGGTTGCCATGCTGGTCCACTAGTCTATATTTAAGTTATTCTCTTTTAGTATTAGCTACTCTCTTTGGGCAGCAAAAACGTCTTCACCCAGGTTTATTCCTTTCAGCAACTTGCCACTACAATTGAAGATTAACAGCTCTGTTCTTCAAGCCCAAACAATTGCTGTTCCCCAGTACTCATTCCCTATTACTGTATTGGCTTCTTGTCAATGTTGAGTAGCAGTTCCTGCCATGGACACCTATCCTTTGAAAGTTGGTTCGTGGAGGCAGATAGGCGCTTGTTTATTTGGACTTCTGAATGTTTAAATAGGTCACACCAGGAGACCTAAACCAAAAATGAAGAAAGAGCAGTGTAGCTGCTTACTGGGCACAGCTGAACTGGCTGACAGAGTATCTTCTTCGTTCTTTTGGCATCAGTGAGAGTCAGCAATGGCAAAGGAAATTAAGTTGCTCTACTTTTCTCTGTAGACATGTTTTAATGATTCTTCAGGCCACAAGCTAATACTGGGTGTAAGAATGCACAAACTTAGAATTTTGCAGGTAACATTGGTTTTGCTTGGGAGAGCTGACCCTTTCATGAGGATTGATCTAACATTTAGTGTAGCAGCTGCTTTCCCTAAAGTTGGAAAAAGTGGAACAATTTCTACAATGCCAGTGTAAAAAAGAAATGTCTGGGGGAAGGGAATGTGCTGAAGTGCGGGTAGAACTATAAGAGGAAAAATGTTGTATTGTCAGCAGCCGTTGTATTGCTCTAGGTAATGCCATGCTCTGTGTGCTGCCATCTCTCCATGCTGTTCAGTTTTATTGGATAAACTGAATTCAGTGTAACCTGACCATCAGTCTTCAGCCAAGAACTGCCTTTCTGGGAAGTTTTATTTTTCAGATGCCATAAGTAAAGCCTGAACAGTCGTGTGGGGTAGATATGTTATTCCAGGAGCAGCGTGGAACCGACAAAGCCATTTTTCCTATGGTTTTATACCTGTTCCCACCTGTGGCTCACAGTACATCCCCTGCAGCACCCACACTGGGCAGCCGTCAGCACAGTCCTGTGGCTGATCTGGAGCACTTACACGTCCACACTGGCCAGCCAGCCGCTGCTGAACAGCGTGTGCGATGGATGGCGGAGTCCCAGTCCCCTCACTGTGTCTCTTCCTTTATCTGTACCTGAAATATGTCACAGAACTTTTAGGAACTTCCCAGGTCCATCTCTGAAACTGCAACCCTCCTTTGGTTATTTCAAAGTCTTGGTGAAGATGGGGGAGAGCACTGCTTCATTAGCTTATTTTCCTAGAGAAAAAAGCTAAATGGCTATGATTTTTTATTTTATTTTATTTGTTTATTATGTTATTTTTCAAATATTCCATGTGGACAAGTTATCAAATTATCAGATTTGGTAAGTTTACCAATATGTAATACATATATGTGAATTTTCGTGGGTGAAAACTGTCATATATTGGTTCTTCTGTCTGATAAATATTATTATTAAACTTCCCTTAGTCTTACACATTTTAAAATGCCTGTGTGATGAAATAATAGGTTTGGGAGAAGGCCTTTTTCTTAATTCTATAGATATCTTCAGAAACCAAAATGCAGGAGGTTCTGTCTGAACATCAGGAAACACCTTTTTCACTGTGAGGGTAACACAGCACTGGCAGAGGTTGCCCAGAGAGGCTGTGGAGTCTCCATCCTTGGAGATACTCAAGAGCCATCTGGACATGGTCCTTGGCAGCTAGCTCTAGGTGGCTCTGCTTGAGCAGGGGGGTTGGACCAGATGAGCCCCAGAAGTGCCTTCCAACCTCAGCCACTTTGTGATTCTGTGAAATTTCATTTGTTTACAGAGGTGGTCATGTCACTGCAGGAATCCAGAGGCATGGAGTTTATTCTTCTGCACAAGTTAATTTCATGTCACATGAATCAAGGACACCCATGATGTTTTCCTTCCAGTTTTCATCCTCAGTGTGCAGGAACTATTGGGGAGCTTTTTCTGTTTGCTTTTGCTCTCCTTTTGCTGTCCAAAATTGATGTAGCACCTGTGCTGTCATTTGAGCAACCTGTGCCTGGCTGGTGCCGTATAGCACCAACACGGGCCATTGACCTTTCTTCATGGGGCAGGGCTGGCTCCTCCTCAACATCTGTGCAGTTAGGAACTGTTTCAGTGGGCATACGCTTCCACGTGGAAATAATCCGTATCAAGAATAGACTTATCTTTTGTCACAGAACAATAAGCAAGATGCTAATGGGAAAAAAGAAAAGGCAAGGGAAATGAATACAGACCTTGAAGAGTCAATCAGAAAATGGTAAAAGTATTGTGCAATGAATAAAGTATAATTACATACAAAACAATTTGTGCTCTAGGGTCTAAAGCCTTCTTGATATTATGAGCAATGTGGCAAAGAGAGTATCTTCATTCATATCAACAGGTAGACTGGAAGTTAGCTGGGAATTTCAGTTGGAGCAGATGTTGGAGAACTGTCCTGTGCTGGCTTCCTACTGTCCTTCTTAGAAATAATGCAGTCAACTCGCTTCCAAGCACCTCGTTACTAGACTGATCCATGCAACAAAGAGGGGATACAACAAAATAGGTTTTACATGTACTGCCTAAAAGTACTCCAAGTGATGTAGATTTATTCACTTCATCAAAATTAATTATTCTTTTTATTTATTTTAGATACAGAGTGTATTTTGGAGCCTCTGTCTCTGCCAGAAAGTCCAGGTGGTGGTGCTGCTGTAGAAAGTTCTCCTGATGTACCCTGTATTTTCTGCAAAGAATGCTATCTCTTAGCAGAGCAAAACCAGCTCCTGAAGCACATGATTATTGAGCACAAGCTCGTCATAGCAGACGTGAGACTAGTTGCAGATTTTAGAAGGTAAGGGTTATATTGTTTGAAATGAGCGTGTGTGTGTGCTGATGTTATGGAAAGCTTCAGAAAACTAGAGTTCGTCTTTTTAAAAAGCTTTAAAAAGCAGTGGGGTGCTGTGGGAGGATTTTTATTACTTTTGTGATGAGCTTTTTGTTGCTGGGTTGTAGGGTTGTTTTCCCATTCCTCTCCTACTTCCCAGCCTCCAGATGTTCCTGGAATCAGGGGACTTGATATTAGAATACAGGGTAATTCCTGTTTTAGACACTTAGACCTCTCCTATGGACTTCTCAGGTCCTGTCACTAATCAACAAGTTGCATAAAAACTAGAAAGCTGTTTATTTTATAAAGCACATTCTAGGTAATCAGCTCTTCCAATTTTGGGTTTTACTCGTATAGGACAAGACTATTTCTGCCACCGTACGATGTCCTAAAGCTGTGTATTGTAGACAGAAGCTGCTCAGTTACAGGATCTCTCACATTCTGGGATGAAATTAATTTGCCCTATTTTAAGGATGCCAGGATTTCCCCACAGAAATCACATTTAATCCTTAACTATACTTTACAGTACTGTGATCTACATACAACTGTGACTCCTACAGCTGTGTCATTGATCATCTCAGCAGGGTCACGTTTGGCTTTCTCTCTCTCAGCTTCCTCCAGTAGCTGGCGTGGCCCCAGCTGGCTTGTAACTTCAGAGACGAGGCGCTTGCTTGGCATTTTGCTTTCACACACAGCAACGTATGGGCCAGGCAGTAGGTTAGACCATACCTGCCAGTTTGTAGATAGTTCTGTTGCAGTGTACAAATGTTAGCTGGGTAGTTCCTCAACTCCAAACACGTTTTCTGGTAGGTATTCTGTGTTTAGTCACTCAGCCAAAGCCAATAACTTGTGTCTATCAAGTTGCAAAAAAAAATAAAATATTAAGATGAAATATAGGAAGAGAAGTGTAAGCCATATAAATCCTTATTCAGATGTATGAGCTTAGTGTTGCTTAAAATGGAAAACTGGTACTTGTTTTTGTTTGGGTTTATGCTGAAAGCAAGAATGCAATGTTCTTTGGAGATAATGCTGGTTTCTTCAGATAAATAAAGGGATCGGAGCTGCTCAGTCATGGACTGCCAGTTTAAGTATGCTTTGGGAGATTATTCTGTGTTAATAAAAATATATTTTAAAATCACCTTTTCAATAAAATGCCCATTTAGATTCTTTTTGCTGCTAATGCATTTGGAAGGTAGCCAAATCTTAGTGAAAGTGGCCCAAGGATGTGAAATGATAGAGTTGTTACTCTGAAGTGTGCCTTCTCTTATTTGCTGTACTGAATATCAGTAAAATAGTCTAATACTATGCACACAAAAAAGGAAATATAATCTGAGGTGTTAAGCTGAAGCGTGGAAAATACAGGAAAACAGCTATGAAAGCCTAGGGGTTTTTTTTATACTTAGCAATGAGTTACAACCAGTCTTAGGGATACATTTCTTGAAAGAACTATAAGACGTGGAGAATCCAGAGAAGAGCAATGCTAATGGAAGATGCTGGGTTGTTGTTTTGGTGTGGTTTTTTTTTTTATTTGGAAGAATAAAGATAAGCTGGCATTAGGGCAGAAAGAAGAGATAAAGGGAATAAGCTTCTGCTGCATGACTGGACACGATCACTCATGGACACTGATCACTCTCTCTCCCTGGAACTATGACAAGGCATTGACTTTATTTGTTCGTTGATTATTTAGGTTAAGTCTTAGGATATGAAATCCCTGCCTGAACAGAAGGTTCATGGCACAGACGGTTATGGTTAGGTGAGTTTGTCTGAACAGTGTTCGTTTATTTCAGTGCAGGGAACAGACTAAATGACATCTTGAAATCCCTTCATTTGCACATTTATGTCCTAAAAGCTGGAGGATGACTTATTCTGGAACACTTGCTGTTTTATGTAGCAGCAAGACTGTTTCATTGTGCATTATGAACAGTGGAGTAGGCAGGGGGACAACAAAGTGCTTACCTCTCACTTACTGACATCTAATGATGCCTCTGAATGAGCTTCAGCCACGCGTGCTGGCTTCACTACGCTTAGCTCTCTGCTGTACCGGAGCTTAATCCTCTCCCTGTCAGAGTTAGCAGAAACAAATACGTGCTGATTCCTTGGCTGCTGCAGTCTTAGTCCTTATATAGTAAGACAGATGGTTAAGAGGTCATGCGAACCACCGTTGGATGTGATAGCTGTGGTGAGTAAACTTTTAGATTGCACAAGTATTAAAAGCTGCAACTATTTTGAAATGTCCTCATAATAATGACATCTGATTTTTTTATGATTCTTTTCCTAATTTGATGGCATGTCAATAGAAGCCTTTACCTTAGTGACTGTCACATGATATATATCATCCATATGAGTCATAAGTATAAATATAAGCATGCACTTGAGTACTTTCAGATTTTTTTTATATAGTAAGATTCTGAATAATTAGCACAAGGACTGCTTGGTTCCCTTCATCATATAATTGAAGGTGATGATTTCTTCTCGGTTAGACAGTAACTTCTAGTTCAGTGGGAACCTAATCACAGTTGGGGTCTGTTAATGCTGCTATAATACAATGATAGTACAAGAATGTTTTTAAACAACTGTAGTTGATGAGTTAAACTTTCAAGATATGTTTAGGGTTTTCCTTATTGTGTCTGCTATCCCACCCCCAGCTGTTTGGGGACTTTATTTTTCTGTCTTTATAGTTATAGTCTACCAAGCTGCAGCTTTCACTGTAACTCCACAGGACACCTGCCAAAACCTCACTTCTGACAAGTTGGTGTTTTTACCTAGTTTCAGATTCCTGCCTACATCTTACAGAACACAGAGCACAATATTTTGGGAATTTGACAGTACTCTGTAGTATACCTTTTCAGTAAAGATGCATCCGAGTGGCACTTCCGTCTGAAGATGCGACTAGGTCACAGTATTTATGTAAAGCTAAGTGCAAATCTGTCTTACTGAGTTCTTCACTTTGACAGGATAGTTAAACCCAGTTTTAATGAAGCTGAATGCATTTAATGACTTGGAAAACTAGATTAAAGGAAGAAAAAACTGAGACAGGAATTTAAAAAAAAACTAAAGTGCTCAAGATTTTAGAGGATGGAAGAAGCAAGAACTGATCAATTGTTTATTAAACTTTTTTTGATTTTTCCTTTTCCACTAATCCTCTCCCCCTTATTTTTAAAGATACATCTTGTACTGGAAGAAGAGGTTTGCAGAGCAGCCCATCACAGACTTTTGTAGTGTGATAAGAACAAATTCGGAAGCTCCGCTAGGTAAGTGTGCTGCTCACTTACTCTCTCATGGCCAAATCATGTGGTAATTTCTGGCAGATACTGCTGCTTTGATCAGTCAAATGTGAAGTAATCCGACACTAGGTCAGAAAACCACAGGGGTAATGTTTAACTCTTAACCACATATTTAAACTAGCCTTTTCCAAGGATTGCAACACGTGCTCCAGCACTGTCCTGAGTGAGGATGAGCTCAATAAGTGCTTAAATGCGCTGCCGAGCTGAGGCCTGTTGCAAATCAAGTCCGAGAAGCACCCACTGCATAAACAATTGGTGACAGTCCTTCCAGAAGTGTGGAGAAGCCTTCCCAGTGAGCTGTCTTTCCCCACTTCACCCTGTCCACCACCCCCACGGATGCCTCTAACTCCACAGGCCCACAATCGCCCTTCCTTTCCCTGCCACGGTGCCTACTGCCCCAAGAGTATTAGGAGACAATATCTTCATGGTGAGGGTACAAAGGCTGCCATTTTCTGGGCTCCAACAGAAGACCAAAGACCACACTTCACAGTTCTGCTGCGTTGGCACAGTGGGGCATTCCATCCTAAGGACAGTGATGACTGTGCGAAGGAAGTGTTTTTCTCAGAAGGAGCTGATGCATTTCTTTGGCTTCCCTTTTTCTAACAGAAGGATGTAGTTTACCTGAAAGGAGATATGAGAACATTAGGGCTTTCCTGTATCTTTAGTTCTCCATAGACACCCTACAAGAGAGGAAGAAATGCATGCAGCCAGTGTCAGAGGTGGGTGGAAGGTGAAAACTGAGTACAAAATGGATGAAAATACATTGTTTTAATTATTCAAACTAATTTTAAGAAAGATAGTCCTAGAAAACATGAAAATCACTCCAAGGACCATAACTACATTTCTCTTATGTATGTATGGTTTTGCTTCTGAAATTTTAACACTTACCATTCAGTTTTGAACTTGCAAATCAAGCACCTAAATGCCAGAGCTTGCCAGAATTATAAGCCCTTTGGTAATTTTAATGGCTCGATCCTTCAGGTATGATAGCTCAGAAATGAGGGATGTTGTCTTACTTCACATAGGCTTCTATATGAAAAGATGGGAAAGGCTGAAATCTAGCAAGTTTGAAATTGTAAAAGACTATTAAGTCTATGGTCGTTCAGTTCACCAGCCACATAACACTTTGATTAATAAATTACTTACTCACAAATGCAAAATATTTTTGTAAGTTTCTTACATGCTGAGTAATTTTAAGGTAATTAATTTGAATAATATTTGTTTTATTATTAAATTGGATATGAACATAAATAGTAAAAAGGGTAGTAAACAAAATGTGGGGAAAACATGTAAGTAGAATGTTAATGCAAGTCTCAATACTATACAGTTGTGGTGCGTAACTACAGATGGAACAAGATCTGATGGTAAAAGGTGATGTGATCAGTGAGGGTAAGGGGAGGGTATACCAAGAAATGATAACTACTAAAAACTGACAGTTGCTTTGGGAAATAACTGATAATCCCACATGTGAGATAAAATTAAAGGTGATTTCATGTTTCTTTCATGCTGACTTTATACTGTGACCAGTATAAGTGAAAATAAGTAATAAAATTTCTTTATTTCTCCAGAAGAATCATTATAAAAAAGAATAAAGATGGTAGTGGGGAAAACCTTGTCTTTGTACTGCAATATAAATGGTGTAAAGGTCTTATAAATATATGTATACAAATATTTAAGTATGTTTCATTAAATCATGAAATTAAAATAACTTCTGTAGATTAAAAACCACATTCTCACACTCTTAATGCATGACAAAGGTGTAGCAAATTTTGTGCCAGAAATATTCAAAGCAGCTGCAACTTTCCATTCCTTACCCACACTTCCTAATCTCTTAACAGAAGAACAGGACAATTATTTTCTTCTATGTGATGTTTTACCAGAAGACAGACTACTTAGAGAACAGCTTCAGCAAAAAAGACTGGTAAGAAATTGCTGTTGTTTCATTTTTTGAGGTAAACAGTTCTGTTGTGTAATATATGGTAACTTAATGGGCATTTTAAAGTGAAAGCATTTTTTCCTAGACTACAAAATTCTTATTTTTTTTATTATTTCTTTTTTTGAGCTCATTTCCCTGGCTGCTGCACAAGCATACACAAACTCCTTGTTTATAGATTTTTCTTTGGATTAAATTTACAGGTTGTATGTCGGTGTTCCACACGAGTGGAAAATACACCCAGAGCTCTGAAAAAGGCTGAGTGTACTGAACATTTTTCTTCTTGCAAGCATCTGCAGTGCATTGACACATTGTGTAATCATGTATGTGTAGGGAAATTAGCAAAACTCAGTGTGTGATACTGTGAAAAGAGAAGGTGATACTTATTTACAAAATCTTCAAGCAAGTTGTTTTTGTGCATTCACAGTCTCTTACCCAGATTTTGTTAATTCACACACATAATCCCAAGCACTGCAGAGCATGAGTGGAGGAAGTCTGGCCAGCATTGTTTCTGTGAGATGTGAAAGACAAGAAATGCCAGCTGTTGAGTCCTCATGAACCTCTCTGGTTCTTCTTTCTTGGTGACAGCAATCTAATTCTTTGAACAGGCCTTTCATATCTTTTCAGAGTTGTCAGTTCTGGATGTGTGGTCCTTCACGTTAAGCTTTTGCTGACGTCAGCTTCCATGAGTCTTAGTCCATGTTGCTAACCACTGACGGTTTTTTGTTTTGGTTTGTTATCTTGTTTGAAATACATGCTGTTGGGCTAATTAAAAAAATGAATGTTGCAGGATACATAGCAGCCTTGTTGTCAGTCTCCTCATGTTGGGATACAGGGTCTTCTGCTGACAAGGCAAGTGTATGTAGTGAGGTGTTAGAGTGCAGGCCTTTTCTTCTTGACATACAGATGTTTCGTAGCTTACTGCTGGCAGCTCTGTCCTGGGAATTGTCAATACAGGCCTTTTAACCCTTTGTTATGCTGTTTCCTCTGGTACCTCATCTGGTCGGTAAGGTGCCAACCTAATGTTTCTATTACAAATCCGTCCAAACACATCACGCAACTAAAGACACCTCAAATCATAAGCATTCAGAATGAAGGAGATGCTTACAAAACCCAAATTCTAGCCCGCAGAAAAATTGGGGTTGGCAGGTAAAATCCATTTCGTTCAACTACTGTGAGTGCTGTTTCAGTTTGTTGGCTAAAGTAATATTCTGCAAATTGAGGCCCACAACTAATGAATCCCCAGAACCTGCAGAGAACGTACAAGTCTTACACAGCTCTCCATAGGATCCCAGCTCCTGCAAAGGAGAATTGTGATAGTTCTGCCACCGAGGATTTCACATGGAATTGGAGTTGCCATGGCTGAAGTCTTCATGCCTGTGTAGGTTCATTGGATTGGCATGGACTGAGACAGATACAGCTGATGCACTCATCCCTAGCATGCTTCTCTCACAATTCACTGTAAGCAAAGCCATCCTGGATCAGTAAAAATGTTTGTCTAGGTCGGCATCAAAGGGTCTATGGTATTTGCCCTCTTCTGATCTCGTGGTGATTATTTCTCAAAATATTCTCCTTGTCTCCAGCAATTGGCAACTCAAGAGTTTCTTAATTGAGCAACATTGCATCTGTGTTTATTACACAATAGATTTTTCTTTCATGAACGTCCCAACTCTGAAACCACACAAACGTCCAGCATCCACAGGTTCCTGCAGCAGTGAGTTGCACAGCTTAAATGGACATTGGGAGAGGACCATCTAGTTGGCCCTTTTGAACCTGTCACTTCACACCTGACATTTGTATTAGAAGAGGTGGTGAACAATTTGGCCTTTATGTTATCCAGACCATTTGTGATTTGTCTCCTGATTGGTCTACCTTACATTATCATAGAATCATTGAATGGAAGGGACCTTAAATATCATCTGGTTCCAATCCTCCTGCCATTATGTCTTTCATTAGTCATGTGCTGCAGTGCATGCTTACAGCAAAGGAGGCCAACAGCATCCTGGGCCACATGAGGAAGGGTGTTGCCAGGTCAAGGGAGATAATCTTTCCCTTCTACTCAGCACTAATAAGACCACATCTGGAGTGCTGGGCCCAGTGCGGGGCTCTCCAGTACAAGAAAGATATAGACTTACTTGAGCAAGTCCAGTGCAGAGTCTCAAAGTTCATCAAAGGACTGAAACATCCTTCATACAAGGAAAGGCTGAGAGAGCTGTTAAGCCTGGAAGACAAGGCTCAGGTAGGATCTTATGAATGTGTATAAATACTTGATAGGAATAAGGAAGAGGGAGCCAGACTCTTCTCAGTAATACCGACTAACAGGACAAGAGGCAAAGGACACAAATTAAAAATTGGGAAATTCCATCTGAAAACAAGAAAACACTTTTGGTGTGAGGGTGGTAAAACACTAGAACAGGTTGCCTGGAGAGGCTGTAGAGTTAGAATGCTGTCTAGTCAATGGTTCTTCACTGTACATCATTGTTGCACTTCTCTGGACCTTTTCCAGTTTTCTGTAGTGCCTTTGAGGTTACAGAAGACATCTTGAACATCGCATGTGGGCATGCAGTGCCAATTATGATGTTCGTTTTCCAAGCATATATCATGTTTGTGGCTTTGAGGAAGGAAAGAGGGTCATGATTGAACACACAGCTAATGTTTCTGTAGAACTGTCTGTTGTGATAGTACCTCCTGGCTGCTACACATTAGACTGTACTTCCTCTTTTTTAAAGGGCATTTGTTTCTGGTTTTGTGGCATTCTGTTCTATGCAGTCCTATTCCAGCTAGGCCTTCTCTCTGCTGCCAGTGTCAAGGGAGTTGCAGAATCTGTTGGCAGGTGAGGTGTTTCATCTCTGCAAATAGGTGTTTCCTCTAATTCAGAAAAGAGTACAGGATTTAGCACAGCACAAGTGCTGGTTTTCTTTACAGATTAATTAAGTTAGAAAGGGTTATGCATTCTTATTTTGGTGTGAAATAGCCTTTGCTGTTAACACTTTTTTAAATGTCAGAATTGTATTCATGATTGAACACACAGCTAATGTTTCTGTAGAACTGTCTGTTGTGATAGTACCTCCTGGCTGCTACACATTAGACTGTACTTCCTCTTTTTTAAAGGGCATTTGTTTCTGGTTTTGTGGCATTCTGTTCTATGCAGTCCTATTCCAGCTAGGCCTTCTCTCTGCTGCCAGTGTCAAGGGAGTTGCAGAATCTGTTGGCAGGTGAGGTGTTTCATCTCTGCAAATAGGTGTTTCCTCTAATTCAGAAAAGAGTACAGGATTTAGCACAGCACAAGTGCTGGTTTTCTTTACAGATTAATTAAGTTAGAAAGGGTTATGCATTCTTATTTTGGTGTGAAATAGCCTTTGCTGTTAACACTTTTCCACCACTAAACCATTTATCTTCAGATTTTACAGAAGGAATTTGTGAAATCAAGCTGCAGCTGTAGTTGGGGCTGATGGAGTCACTGCTTTAGTTACAGCAATAAAGTCTGTTTAGGTTTTTTTTTTTTCCTTTTGCTGCAATCTGAGTGTTGACTTGCAAGTTAAATAGTTATTTTGCTTTGCAAAGTCTTTTACCTCCAGACAAGTCCAGCAATTAAGAGTGAGCTGGCAAATGGGCTCATGTGAGTTGCACGGAATAAAGACCAGAACTATACAACTTTGGTGATTTTTCTGCAGCCTTTGAATCCTAACTGCTGTCTCCAACAGCAAGCCCAAACAAGGACAAATGTTGTCTTTAAAATGTGCTAGCTGAAGCATTTCATTTAGCAGTTTTGAAACTCCAGTTTAGGAATATTTCAGGCTGTATTGCAGCAGGGGAGCCAGCCAAGGTGCGTGTCGTGCAGAGACATTATGGTGACTGTGATGTATTGAGAGAGGCCAAGGAATGAGCCTGAAGTAGGTTAGAGAGCACAGCTTGCTGAAATAGCTGACAAGGCTATGTAATACAAAACAGATACGGTCTTTTGGAAAAACACAGTCTTGACAAAGAATTCATAGTTGTGAAGCACTGGAAGCAGGCAGGGAAGTCCTGGCAGCAAAACTCAAGATACTGGGAGAGGCAGTGTCAGTATGAGCCACTTGGGTTTATCTTTAAGATTGTTCTAGAAAAGGTAAAACCTCAAACCTCTGTTTTGGAAATACACATTTCCTACCATTTCCTTGTCTTGCTGTCATGTTTACAGCTATTCTCCTGTCTGGTATTCTCCTGTGACTGGTAGTTTTACGTGAAGAAGCTACTACTGTTCCTACCAGTAAATAGTGCCTGAATAGCAATCTTCACCAAAACTAGAAAAGGGACACAGGTATATTTAGGATACTCAGCTGTACTTGCTTCCCAGGATGAACTGTTTGTATGATCAGTTTGTCATAAGCTTAAGCTGAGACAAGGTTCAAGAAGATGAAGCTGTGCACTGGAAGGGGTCAAGATGCTAGCCTAATTTAACAAAATAAAACATCTGAAGTGCTTACAGTATAGCTTATAATGTTAACATGTCAATACCTACATCTGAAATTCTATAGGTCCTTCTTTCCCTGTGTTCACTATTTAGTGCTTCTCTCAAGCACTCGGGAACCTTGCCCATCCTCCATGGGCTTTTGGAGAGTTGTCACACTATTGGCCAGAAGTCGTTTTGTCTAATTGCATAGTGGCTCTTGGGGAAATTTTGTCAGATTTGAATATGTACGATTTCCAACTTTTAACCTTTTCTTGCCTTTTTCTGTCTTAATTTGTTATTTCTTTTGTTTCATTAATGACTTTGATATAATTTACTTTTCCTGGAAAGGGTAGAGCCCTGGAGATTGCAGGCATTCCTTTTTTGTCTGTGTTTGGTCTCTTCCTACATTAAGTAATGGATCTCTGCTTTTCTTTGACGTTTATTTCTAATGTATTTGGGGGTGTGGGGAGGTTGTTTTTTGCTTTTCCATTTTACTATGTTAGCCTGTCTCCATCTTGCTTTGGTTGTCTTAGCTTACAAAAACTTCACTTATCTC